GCCAGCCTGCCCGGCAGCTGGGCCGGGCCGCCCGCTCGCGGAGGGAAGAGACAGCGGCGCGGAGGGGGCTATGGGTCGGGCGGCGTGGGGGCTGCTGTGGCTGCTGCTGGGCAGCGCCGGGGCGCAGTACGAGAAGTACAGCTTCCGGGGCTTCCCGCCCGAGGACCTGATGCCCTTGGCCGCGGCCTACGGGCACGCGCTGGAGCAGTACGAGGGCGAGAGCTGGCGCGAGAGCGCGCGCTACCTCGAGGCCGCGCTGCGGCTGCACCGGCTGCTGCGGGACAGCGAGGCCTTCTGCCACGCCAACTGCAGCGGCCCCGCGCCGCCCGCAGCCGCGCCCCCCGGCCCCGACGGCGGCCGCGGCGACGAGTGGGCCCGCGAGCTGCGGCTCTTCGGCCACGTCCTGGAGCGCGCCGCCTGCTTGCGGCGCTGCAAGCGTTCGCTGCCCGCCTTCCAGGTGCCTTACCCGCCGCGCCAGCTGCTGCGCGACTTCCAGAGCCGCCTACCCTACCAGTACCTGCACTATGCGCAGTTCAAGGTGCGCGCCCAGCCGGCGGCGCCTCCCAGTCGGGTCGGGGGGAGCGCGGCTCCTCGCGTGTGCTTGGGGCTGCGGGCTCTGGCCCTGCTGACCGGCCCTGTCCCCACGCCGCAGGCGAACCGGCTGGAGAAAGCGGTGGCCGCGGCCTACACCTTCCTTCAGAGGAACCCGAAGCACGAGCTCACCGCCAAGTATCTCAACTACTATCGCGGGCTGCTGGACGCCGCCGACGAGCCCCTCACGGACTTGGAGGCCCAGCCCTATGAGGTGGGGTGCCAGGGTAGGGCCAGCCCTGACGCAATTCCCTGAGTCCCCCCATAGGGCCTGTGGGGGAGGGGAGGTGTGGGGGTCCCTTGACCCCTGTGCCGCGTCCCCTCCCCCTAGGCCGTGTTCCTCCGGGCTGTGAAGCTCTACAACAGCGGAGATTTCCGTAGCAGCACCGAAGACATGGAGCGGGCCCTGGCCGAGTACATGGCCGTCTTTGCCCGGTGCCTGGCTGGCTGCGAGGGGGCCCACGAGCAGGTGGACTTTAAGGACTTCTATCCAGCCATAGCAGGTATCCACCCCGGTGGGCATCCCTTTCATCCGCAGGGCCCTGCTTCCCAGAACTTCTAAGGCACCTTAACACAAATATTCATTCCATACACATTTATGGAGCGCCTACTAAGTGCTTGGGAGGCGGACAGGCATAAGGTGTTATCCCTACCCTCAGACCCTTCAGTCGGTGTTGGCTGACAGGGACCAACAAAACACCTGCCACTGGGTGCAGAGGGCTGCAGTAGGGAGTGTCCAAGGTGCTGGGCATCGGTGCAGAGAGGAGGTGACATCCCAAAAGGGTCTGGGGTGGTTGGGTTCATGGGCCTTCCAGGCAGGCAGAGGGCAACGCAAGTGCAAAGTTGCTGAGGTGGGAAATGGCCCAGCAGGTGTGTGCAGAAAGCAGTTTGTGGCCAGAAATCATACCTAGTCTGGGGATCCCTAAGGGCGGAGTCCCTCAGCAGGGGCAGAAGGGACTGTCCTGGGCTTCTCTCTTTGGGCTTCAGTCCCACCTCCAGGCCTCACCTGCCAACCTCCCAGTGTGCCCTGGCTTCCTCTGGCTTCGGGGCGGTGGGTGAGCTGTGGGGGTGATAAGTCAGCCCAGGCCACTGTAGGCTTCCGCAACATCCCTTGTCCCTCGACTGTCTCGTGGGATCGATCAGCAGGCAGAGCTGGGACTGGAAGCCATCGGCCGTCATCCCCATCAGCGGGATGGAGCTCTTCAGTACACCAGCTCCTCACCGCTGCCACCCCCACCCCCAGATCTCTTTGCAGAGTCCCTGCAGTGCAAGGTGGACTGTGAGGCCAACTTGACCCCCAATGTGGGCGGCTACTTCGTGGAGAAGTTCGTGGCCACCATGTATCACTACCTGCAGTTTGCCTACTACAAGTGTGAGCCTCCTGGTGGGCTTGGGGTGGGGGAGAGCACTGCACTGGGAATGAAGCCGAGCCAGAATTGAGGACCCTTGGTGATGGGAGGGAAGGCTGGGGGTGGTGAGGCAGGTGAGAAGCTTGTGGCGGGGAACAGAGAGCAGCCTCAGGGGAGAATGCCAGGGCCTCTTGGGTAAATGACTAGATAGTCAACAACTGCACAGCACTTGATAGTTTACAAAGCCCTGCCACATCTGTTTATCACTTGATCCTCTCACAAGCAACCGGTAGCTGGCGTTACTGGACCCATTTTTCAGATGAGGAAGCCGAGGCTCACAGAGGGTAAGGGGCCATTAGTTAGCATGGCTAATAAAAAGTAGCACCAGGACTTAAGGCTCTCCTCACTTAAGGGGGATTCTGGCATCAGCCGGGGCTAAGATGGTCAATCTCCAGGGTTTCTGCAATGCAGAGATGCTAAGATTCAGACAGGCTGGAGTTGGAGAGGAGGAGCTGAAGACCAAGGGCCAGGAGACCCTTTGTGTTCTAGTTGGCAAACAGGTTGAGGGCTGGGCCACGGGCTTCTGATTCCCCAGTGCCATCATTCTCCAGCTGTGTGAGCTCAAGCAGTTTACCTGACCTCTCTGTGCCTCAGATTTCTTATCTGTAAAATGGGGATGGCAGTAACAGTGAGGCTTAAATGAGTTACATGGGGCATAAGGTAAATGCCCAATACATTCTAGCTTGTATTATTATTGGGTGGGGTGAGGCGCCCAACAGGTATTCTGGGAGGCAGCTGGGGAACCAGGGGCACTGGACTAAATTGGGAGATAGGGGTGCGTTAGTTGAGGGTTATCCCTGAAGGTGGGGAAGTGCCAGGGCCACAACTCACTCCTGTCCTGCCTGCAGTGAACGACGTGCGCCAGGCCGCCCGCAGTGCCGCCAGCTACATGCTCTTTGACCCCGAAGACAATGTCATGCAGCAAAACCTGGTGTATTATCGCTTCCACAGGGCCCGCTGGGGCCTGGAGGAAGAGGACTTCCAGCCCAGGGAGGTGGGCATCGCTGAGGCATTCTCAGGATATGCGATTTGATTAAAAAAACAAACAAACAAACCTGGCTTCCTCCAAAGGCAGAGTGAGAAATAAAAAGAAAAAACTTGGGTTGTAGTTGGAGTCCTAGGTTCAAACCCACCAGCTGTGTGGTCCTGGGAACACTACTGGCCTTTTCTGAATCTGTTGCCTCACCTGCAAAATGGGGGTGGAACAGCCTACGTCTCCAGCACAGTGCCTGGCATGTGGGAGGTAAAAAATAACTGTCCCTGCCTGCTCCCTTCCCCACTCTCACCATGCTCACTGCCGGCCTTTGCCCTCCTTCCCCAGGGACCCCATAACCTGGACCAACTGAGGAACCCCTTGGAATTCTAGGGCAAGACTGGAAAATATGGGGCACGTGGTGCCACTCCCCACTTCCTTGTCAGTGGCAGACATTGCGAATCGATGTAGGCACTCTTTCTCACTGAGCCCTCAGAATCCTTCTTAACCCGGCGCTTCAAGCAGCTGTGATTTTTCGACCAGCATGTGAACTGATACCTGTTCCCTGCTCCTCGAGCTGTGAAAGGGCCAGAGGGCCCAGATCCTAGGAGCTCTGGCTCCTCCACCATCTGTCAGCAGGGCCTGGCTCACCTCACTTTCCTTCCCTCCTCCCAGGAGGCCATGCTCTACCACAACCAGACAGCTGAGCTTCGGGAGCTGCTGGAGTTTGCGCACATGTACCTGCAGTCAGATGACGAGGTGAGTGGCCCTGTGCCCTCCTGGCTTGGGTGGTGATGGACACCCCTTGATCCTCTTCCTGGGGCCGCTGTGCCAAATCTCAGCCTCAGCTCGTGGCAGTCAGCCATTGTGAAGCAGAGGGATTTCACCTGTCCCTCGTTTACACCTGCCCTCCTCTCCCGACTCCGTGTCCTCACACCCCGCTTCTCTACATGTCTGAATCTCGCTTCTCCTGGGCCCAGCTCTGGTGGCGCCTCCTCCAGAAGCCCTTGCTGTACGTCCTGGCTCTGTCTTCTGGGCTTGCAGTGCCTACTCTGACCGTCTGTGCCTCCCTGGACCGGAGTTACTTACAGCCCTCATCTGTCTCACCCCGCCCCTTTCTGCAGCCAGTCTCCTAGAGGACTGGGCTCCAGGACAGGGACCAGGTTATTCCCAGCTCTACCACAGCACCTGGCACAGAGCTGGCCATCAGAAACTGGGCTTGAATGAACCAGTGAGTGAATGAATGAACACAGGGTGCCAGGAAGGAAGGATCACAGTGTGTTATTACATTGATTCTAAATGAGGGTTTGAGAGCCTGAATTCTCTGAGGTGTTGCCGCCCAGTGCTTATTTATCCATCCCCTCCATTGTTCATGCACCCATGCCCCCCCTCATCAAACAGGGGGCCAGGTCTGCACAGTGAGCCCCCAGGCTTTGGTGCTTACCCGGCTTGGCTCCACCATTTCCCAGTTGGATAGCCTCCAGGCAAGTGTTAGGTAACCCTCTAACTTCCATTTCTTCATCCATGGAATGGAGAGAATAATGGCCATCTTACACTGTTGTGGTGAGAATTCAATGAGATCTAGTATGTAAATCACTTAGTGTAGAGCTGGCACATAGTAGGTGCTCAGGGGGTGGTAGCCATTTTGATTACTGTTATTTGTTGCTTGCTGTTTGCCAGACACCGTGCTTGGGGCTGTGGTAAACTGATGAAAGGCACAGTCCCTCGCCCAATCAGCTCACCGTTAGTTCAGCGCAATGGGAGAAGTCAGCACGGGGCACTGGACGAGGCCTCCAGACCCGGCCAGGGTCATCAGCAAGGGCCGCATCCTGGAGCTGATGCCTGGTGTTGGAGGGATAAACCAAAGCTATCCAAGCACAGGGGAGTAGAGGTGTTCCTGGCCGGGAAGCAGCGTGAGCAGACAGTATTCATGGACTAGCAGTGTTGCCTGTGTATTTATGCTTAAAAGCTGGGCTGTGGAGAGGAAGGTTACACCAGCCCTGAAGCTCTGCTGGTGGAGCCCCATATGCATCAGTTCATTGGGGGGGCAGTTTGGGAACAGGACTTAGGGAGAAACCCTCCAGTTATTCCTGTGTGAGGTCTTGAGTGTAACTGGGAAGGAGGGGTTTGGGACCAAGATGGGATGGGAGGGCCCCTTGGCCAGGAAGGGAGCCGATCTGGGTTTGTGCCTGCTATGACCTGGTTTATCCTCCCATCCTGGGGCTGCTCTAGATGGAGCTGAAGGAGACAGAACCGCCCATGGAGCCTGAGGAGCCCCCGTCTGATGCTGAGTTTGAAGGGGAGGGCGACTACGAGGAAAGCATCTATGCTGACTGGTGGCAGGAGCCAGATGCCAAGGGCGACGAGGCTGAGGCCGGTCAGCGACTTGAGTCCTGGTGGAGGGGCGGGGATGCAGCCTGGGCTGGACGTTAGGGACGGGAGGATCCAAGCACTGGGCTGCAGAGGCTGTGGAGTAGCTGTGCTGGGTGCTGGCACCCCTCTTCTGGGGGCTTCCGGCCTGTTAGCAGCCCCTGTCCCACCTGGTAGAGGGGTGGGGGTGACATCCTTCCTGGAGCAGGGACCAGCTGAGACCTGTTCCTGGGGACCCTCACTCCTGCCTGCGCCACCTCCCCGAGGACAGCACCCAGAAACCTGTTGGGGATGGGAAGCTAACCCCAATGTTCTCTCCTTTCATTTTTCAGAGCCGGAGCCTGAACTAGCATAAGAAGAGGGGCCCCGGCACCCCTCAAGAGTTTTGGGAATCTCGGGCCCAGTGGCACCACCCCCACCAGCCTGGGCAGCAACAACAACTATTTATTAAACATGTAAATGGACATAGCTGACCAGGCCCCATCCTGTCCCAACTGTGAGCACTGCTCCCCAGACCCCTCTTGCCTCCTCTCTGGGTCTCTGGACCACCGGAGGATGGTGCTGCAGCTGCTGACAGCCTGTCCTCCTCCCAGTGTCCTCCCCACCCAGTGGGGCAGTCTCCTGGAGGAGAAGATGCTAGCTCTTCCTAGTTGGGGTCTCAGCCTGAATTGCAGACACAGCAGAGGGGCAGCTGGCATCACGAAGAGCACTGGACCAGGAGTCCAACGGTTCCTGGCACACTGGCAATTGGTGCTCAATAAACATTTCTTGTTGAATGAATCACAGCATTGGGGTCCAGACTCCCCTGGGCAGAGTGGTGAGGGTGCAGGTCCTTCCCTCCCCCTCTCTGCACCCATCTCCCCTCATCAGTAAATGTGGAGACAGGTGAGGGGCCACAGTTTGGCCTCTGTGGATGGACCCTGGGTGTTTGCAACCACGAGGAGCACCAGCCTGCCATTGCAATCTGCCACTAGGGGGCGTGAGGATGCAGTTCTGCCTGAGTCCTGGCAAGATGGTGGTTTCAGATTTCTAAGGTGGTATGTCCTGTAGTTTCCTAGTTCAGCATCGCTTCCCTCAGGGAATGTGGGGAGGGGGCCCAGGACACTTACGTCCGGTTTTTACTTTCCAAGCGTTTACTGAGTCAGAGCAAGCATGCCCTGCGCTGCCCTCTCTGCCTATTCTCCCATTCATTCCACAGCAGGGAACAGACCCTCTTAGTGGCCAGAGGAACCCTGGGGATACGGCTTGATAACATGAGACTTTGTGGTGGCAGTGGAACTGCCAGACCATCTTGCCCAATCTTGCATTGGCTCTGGGGGGGGCAGAGAATTTGGAGGTGGCTACCACCCACCCAATTCATGTTCCAGAGCAGGGACAAGTAGGAGCAAAAGGGGTCTCTCTGGGGAGGGACACCGGGCTAGGGCCAGCCAGGTGACAGTTCTGGCCCACTGCCCACATTTCTGTTCTCCCAGCGGTAGGGTGGTGGAGGACCTTTCTCCTCTTACTGGAAGGTGGAGCGGAAGCTGGTAAGCCCAGTTCTCACCGTCCACACCCCTGCCCAGATGTGCCAGCTGACGTGGCCTGGGCCCTGCCCATCACTGTGCCCAGGAGGACTCCCTGTCCCACCCCACGCCCTTCCCCTGGGCCTTTGGTGAAGATGAAGAAAGGAAGGACAGAGGCGGAGTGTGGAGCACGGGCGGGGTCAAAGCTGGGGGCGCCGGTGACCTCACTCCTCCCTCCCTCCCGTAGGTGGGTCTGCAGTGGCAGCGTCTCCAAAGAGCTCCCAGGTACCAGGGCGGCCCTGCCCCACCCCACCCCTCTCAAGCTGCTGTGTTGCAGCTTCCACCGAGGCCCCGCCCCCTGTTTCTGGGAGGGGCTGCCCTCCGGGGCTGGCCCTCCGGAGGGTGGGGAGTGGGGACGAGTTCCAGCAAGCCTGCGTGAGTAGGAGCTCTGGAATCTGGACCGCTGGGTTTGAGTCTGAAAGCGCCTGTGTGGGGGAGCGAGAAGGCCTGTGTGCTTGTGTGTTGGTGTGGATGTGAGCGAGTGCCTGCGTGCACGTGTCTGAGAATGTCCGTGGCAGCGTCGTGGGCGACAGTGCGGATTTGCGCATGCGTCCCTGAGGGTGCGCGCATTCGTGACCCTAACCCTAGAATATGTGATTGTACTCAACGCTTCTGTATTGGGCACCTACTACGAGCCGGGTATGTCGCAGGTGCTGGGCATACAATAGTGGGCAAAGCAAGGCAAGCACCCCCTGCCTTCCTGGAGCTTGCATTCCAGCGGGAAGACAGGCAATAAACAATAAATGTTATAATGAATGAGTTATCTGGCTATGTTAACATAAGTGCGTTGTAAAAATACAGCAGGGTGAGAGGATCGGGAGAACAGGGCGGGAATGGGGGTACGGTTTAAGAAGTGTGTTTGTTAAAAAAAAAAAGTGTGTTGATGTGTGTGTCCAAGTGTGCATCTGAGGGTGAGGGTGTGTGTGTGTGTGTGCGCGCGCGTACGCGCGTGTGTCCTGGGAACAGAAGGCCGCCCCTCTCTAGGTACTCACCCGCATCCTGGCGGTAGCCCAGGCCCTCCCCTTCCAGTGGGCCTTACTCAGCTTCTCCATCCCTGGCAGCCACCAGCCACTCCCACCTCTCTCTGATGTCAGTGTCTCCCCATTGCCCGGCCAGCTCCCCAAACCGGTGAGATCGAGTTCTAGCGAGTCCCAGCGAGTCCCAGCGTGGGCCCTCTGGGGCCCTCCAGCCCATTCTCCCAAGCCCACCCAGCCCAGACACCTTCACCTCCTCCACGTCCCTGTCTCACTCAGTCCTCTCCTTACCCCGCTCCCAACTACCTACCCCGCACCTCAGCAGCCCTAGCATCTGTAGCAAAATGGCTAGAAGGTTAGAGACAGCCAAAAGGGCACTGGGGATGATGACCTCACACAATAGGGCCAGACTCAGATGTCACAGAGGTGTCCTGGACCCAGAAAGACCCCATCCCAAGCAAAGCATCACTGCTACAACGTATTGAATACCTGCTGTGTGCTGGGCACTTGGCAGGTTCTTTACAGCCTTCAAAACAGTCTTCCGGTTCCTGGGCTTCCCTGGCGGTCCAGTGGTTAACACTCCTTGCTTCCACTGCAGGGGGCAAGGGTTCGATCCCTGGTCTGGGAACTAAGGTCCCACATGCCATGTGGCCAAAACAAACAAAAAACAGTCTTGCAACATAGATATCAATTCCCTTCTGCCACAGGTGAGGCTGAGGAATGAGAGCAACCTGTCCAAGGTTCCTCAAGGTGGGGGGTGCCTGAGCTGGGTTTGAAACATTTTCCCCTAAATCCATGATACTCAGAGAAGGGAGAGAGCAGAGAACACCGTGGTCTCCTCTCTCTGGTCCCTGGAGCTGGCTTTGTCCCTTTATGCTGTCAGCTGGAGCTGAGGAGAGGAAGGTGAGGACCAGATGTGGAGACAAAGTCCACACATTGCCACAGCTCACCGAGGGAGGAAGAGAGTTCCAGAAGGGAGAGAGGGAAGGAGGAAGGGAGGAAAGCAGAAAGGGGAGGAAGGGCAGGCAGTCAAGCCTCACTCTCAGGCCTGATTCCATAGCCCAGTCCCACTTCCCCTGTTGGCTCCCTAGGATCGGACCAGATGTTAGAGGGTCTGGGGACAGACTCGCTGGGGTCATTTAGACCAGCCTTTTCTTGAATCCTGAGAGGTGATGGCCAATGGAGGTGGGGGGAGGGAGGGTCCTATGGGATTCCGCCAAATTCTTGTAAATTCCAGTGGAAGAAATTCCCCGCTTAGGTTTGAGAACCAGTTCTTGAAGTCTCACCCTAGTGTTCGCCTCCTCAGGGAGAGTAGGGTCCCCCTGACCCGCTCCTGTGTCAGAAGGCTGTGTCCAGTTGGCACTGGGGCCAACCTCATAAGCTTACTGGGGGAGTCCTGGCAGCCGCAGGGCTCAAGCCCTATGCAGCTTCCCCACTCAGGGGCCTTCATCCAGGCCTCCTCTTGCAGCTTCTCTCCAAGGATGGCTCCAGCAGATGGCCCCAATTTCATGGATGGGGAAACTGAGGCGCAGAGAGACTAGATTGGGCTCCCAGGGCTGCATGATAAAACTCCAAGATGACTTGGGGATTAGATGGGAGTATGCTGAGTGCTGAGGCTGCCCACTGGAGCCAGCCCCAGCCCACACTGGGGACACATCACCCCATAATCACCACCTGCCTGGGTGCCAGCTGGCGTCAGGGTGCCTGCATAGCATCTCTTCTGACCCCCAAAAAGCCCTTGCGGTGGGAGCACCTTTCATGCCCATAACTCAGGTGGAGAAACTGAGGTAAAAGGAGGACATGGCTGCTTGTTTACCGCCCTCCCCCGCCCCATATACTTGATCCTCTGAATCTGTGGACAAACTCACTAAGGTATGACCCTTGGTAAAGAAGAGGCCAAAAAAAAAAAAGAAGAGGCCAAGAAAACTTGACATTTTCTATTTGGGGTCATCTTTTCAGCTCTCCTTTAACAAGAAGAGTGCTATGTTATGTTCCTGGAGCAAAGTAAGTGGTGGCCATTTGAGATTCTTTTGAGCATTTGGCTAAATCCTGGTGGCTTTCCTGAAGGAGGAGGCTAGGAAGGAGTGAGGTTCAGACAGTCTAACTGGGGAGTCTGGCCTCTTTCC